TTGATCCAAACATTTTATTTGCACCAAACACAATGCCAAACCTTTCGAACATTTGCACATGGAGTCCAAAATACCATCCATTTAACCGTTAGTTGATCATTAAGAATTTTTTTTTTAACAAATAAAATAATGTTATGAGAATTAAATAAAAAAATAAAAAGAAGAAAATCCCTCCAACCCCCACCACTCAAAACTGATCTAGAGAACCGTCGGCACCACTGCCACCCAATGTCGACATCACAAGAAAGGACCAAATGAGTTCCCAAACGCGAATGAAAAATCATCGATTTTCTTCCTCTGTTGTATTTTATTTGGGGAATTTGATAAAAAAGCCCAATCAAACAATGTTATTTGTAAAATAACCTTCCTTCAATGTTATTTGATAAAATAGCCTCCACTTACAAAAAACAATAAACAAATAAGATCAAATGTCTAAAATACCCTCACCATTGAAAAGACTCAAATACCCATTTCAATCCAATTAAATCCCTCAAATCATCAGCAAAAATCAGTGGACGTGCTTTCCCGGTGGATGCTTCCTTAAAATCTTGTTATTCATTGCATTCTTCATCTATCTTCTCTAATATTTTGAGCATTTTAACAAGGATTTTGGTGTCTACATTATCCACATTGAAATTTCTACTATATTTAAAGAAAGAAGAAAGGTATTTTTAGAAATCTCATTTATATTGGTATTTTATTGTTGAATATAGTATAAAATGATATTTTAGTTGATTTTATTTTCGCATTTGGTGTATATTTGCATCGTCCGCAACTATTGGACGATAACGACACTCCAGTCGTTATTAGTAGTTCAGAACGATACTACAGTCGTTATCTACCATGTAAAACGATAGTACAACCGTTATCTATTATGATCTGTCCATTATTGATGATATATTGTGGTTACTTTGATCATTCAAATATGGTAACTATTTTCATATTACTTTGATATATACTTGAGTAAGTTATTTAACTTTTTTTTTTTTTTACAGGTATGGATTCTGTAGAAATGATATGGGTACAAGTATGCTATTTTGTCGAGTTTAAAAAGACTGAAGAAAACAAATGGACATGGGATTATATAGGAAACGGTGAAGAAAATGTGGATATTCTTTATGTTCCATCTAGCATTTCGTATATAGAGTTGTACAACAAAGTGCAAGAACTTGTTAATGTGGATTCAAAGTTATATGAAATTGAGATGATGTCCCTTAATCCTGGAATGTCTAAGTTTTCAGTTCCACCACAAAGGATTAACAGTGACATGAAAGTGAAGTGGTTTCTTTCTATTTGTAAAAAACATCCTCTTTGCGTGACTATTTCGACTAAAGTTACAGGTGAATGTGATAGTGTAAGGGAGTTTGAAAGAGATTGTGGAGTAGAAACTAATGGTGAAGTAGAAAAGGGAGATGTGAGCCATCAAAATGAAGTTGAGCTATATGATGGCGATCATGGAAATGATAACGTAGAAGAAGGAAACTCTGTGGATTGGGATAACTTGCATATAATTCAAGGTAGTTCCGAACAACAAGATTTCGAAGATAAATCTCCTCCGAGAAATGAAAACAATGTTGATTTCTCCATGGAAGAGGACATTATTGGTACTTCAACACAAGTCCTGTGTTCAATTCCTTATAGATCATCAGTTAGGATTCCAGAAAATGAGGATGTACATGATGATGAACTATTTCCAACTAAAAGTGCTTTGATATCAAAACTCCAGCTACTTGCCGTGAAGTACCAATTTGAATTTAAAGTGAAGAAATCAAATAAGAGTGTTTATACAGTCGTTTGTGTTGAGAAAATTTGTAACTGGCGTTTACGGGCAACGAGCATAGCTGAATCTGAGATTTTTCAAATACGAAAATATTCTAGCCATCACATTTGCTCTATGAGTGTTCGTCGCAGGGATAATAGACATGCTACCTATTCGGTAATTGGAAAACATGTAGCTCCAAAATATCATGATGCCAACATAGTGTACAGACCAAGAAACATTATCAATGACGTTCGTCGAGAGTTTGGCATAACTATAAAATATCACAAGGCGTATATGGCCAAAGAATTTGCTTACAAAGAGGTTCGAGGTAGCCCTGATGATAGCTATGCAAAGTTACCAATGTATTGTCACATTCTGGAGAAAAATAATCCTGGTACGTTGACCTTTATTGAAACCGATAATGATGGACATTTCATGTATTTTTTTATGGCATTAGGACCAAGCATACGTGGATTTCTCTCTTCAATTCGACGGGTAATATGTGTGGATGGAACATTTTTGAAATCTAAGTATCGAGGTACGTTACTTGTTGCCACATGCCAAGATGCAAATCGTCAAATTTATCCACTTGCGTGGGGCATAGTGGATTCAGAAAACAATGACTCATGGACTTGGTTCTTTCAGAAGTTACGACAGATAACCGATGACACAGACGAGCTAGTCTTTATATCTGACCGTGCAACAAGCATATCAAATGGTTTCAACAGCGTCTATCTTAACGCACATCATGGACATTGTATATGGCATTTGCAAACTAACTTGAAGAGCAAATTCCCTCGCATAGATATTGTGCCATTGTTTAGAGCTACTGCACAGGCATATAGTTTGGCAAAATTTGAGATTAATATGCAAGCATTGTGCAGTCTACACGAGAAAATCAGAGAATACTTAGAGGAAGAGGTTGGCGTGGAGTATTGGTCAAGAGCACATTTCAATGGAATCAGATACAATACTATGACCACAAACAATGCAGAATCATTAAATTCATTGTTGAGAAGTGCTCGAGAATTTCCTATACTTGCTTTGATCGAGTATATCAGGGAAAAGATGCAGAGTTGGTTTCATGATAGGCGCATTGATGCCGAAAAATGTACAAGCTATCTCACCCCGCCAATGGAGGAGAAAATGTACGATAGGTATAATGAGTCAAAAGGTTTTGAGGTAAAAGCTCTTAGCCCAGATGAAATGCAAGTGAGTGATAAAATGGAAAGTTTCATTGTTAATTTGGAGAGGGGGACATGCACATGTAAGGAATTTGATCTGGACCAATTTCCATGTGCACATGCAATTGCAGTAGTAAGGGATGTTGGAGACAACTGTTACAGGTTTTGCTCTCCATTTTATAGCACTTCTTACTGGAAACAAGCTTATTCTGAATATATATATCCACTGTCAAATGAGGTGGACTGGGAAATTCCCGATAGTGTTCGATCAAGAAAGGTGATACGACCGTTGACACGAAGAGGAAGTGGACATCCACCAAAAAAAAAGGAAACAATCAGCCGGAGAGGTGCGCAAGTCTCGTAAGTGCAGTAGGTGTTTGAAAACTGGGCATAACCGTATCACTTGTACAGATCGTGTACCACTTA